TATTTCAATAAAATTTTTTAATTTCAGTTGAACTTCAATTGTCTTTGACTGAAGACCCAATTTGTTAACCATTCCTTCATATCATGTTACGATACTTAAGGCGAGTAGTAACTCACCCGTAATTCTAACGAGTACGTTACACTCGCATTGAATGTCAAGTTTGTTGTTATGTCAAAGTGCTGAACTTAAATACCACATATGCCTCCAGATTAAACTACCAATGCGAATGTCAAGCTGGTTAACGTTATTGGGTTTCAATAATAAAAACAAATGTTATACAAAATTGAAATAAAATCAAATAAAACTGAATCTGTTTGGAATTAACTACGAAAGTATTTCAACTTCATCCAGCGTATGCAAAGTAAGTATGTGTTGGACTTCAAGCCATCATCCACAATGCTAGGTAATGCGAGTAAGTCGAAATTGTTGGTTTCGCTCGCGACATAATTACAATTGTGCCAACATATAAAAATCGTAATAAAGTCCGTATTGGTACTCGTTGGGCTTACAGCAGCCGAAGTGCACAAGCCTACAAGACGCGCATGTGCAATGTTTTGTAGGTGCATTGTTAGCTTATTTTGATATGAAATCGTTTTAATACATAAGTAAGTAGCGCATAAGTACTCTACCCTCCGCACCGTATTCTGTCGCTACTTTTAGCAAGTCATTCCATTGATGAACTTCAAAATGTCTATTGCATTAAATATAGGCTTTTGCACTTCGACAGCTCAGGTATCGCATACATTAACACTTCAATGTCTACTTTTAATGAAGTAAATCGTGAAACATGATATTTTTACTTTGGTATCTAATTTGAATTTTTGTAATAAGTTTTAAAATTAAATACACTGAAATGAAGGACGAATTTAATGAGAGTTTAATTAAAATTAAACATTATTTTTTTTATTTATGAGCTCAACGCAGTTTTAAGGTAACAAGATCATTGATTTTTAATATATTCTGATATGTTTAAGGTGTTTCCGAAACTCCTACTCAGGGTTTTCTTTTATATAACAAAAAGCTCAATTTAAATTTGAAGCAAAATTTAATGTTTAATTACTTAATATTAATGAAATATTAGGTAACTACGTAAATTTCATATGTTATCCTGTTATGCTAAATATTTTAACATACATTGATAATAATAAAAATCTGTTAATACTGACTTGGATTAGTTAATAATGCTGTGATTATCATTTATACTTTAAAATAAATTTATTTACCAATATTAATCTAAGGTAGAATTATAGTATAATGATATATCGTACAATAAACTTAATGAAGAAATTTATTCTTAATATATTTTTCAAAGCTATTATATTGCGATTTTTAATTAACAAAAAATTTTTTTGGACGAAACGCTTAATTTTGAATTAAATTCATTTCATTATGTTATCTCTTATATTTAATTTCTTGAAATTTAAAAACCAAAAAAGTACTAAATTAGGCTGAACAAAATTATTAGCACACCTAATAAAAAGATTTAAAAAAAAATTTAATAAAAAATTTAAAGAGGTTTTCGAACAGAAGTGAAACAACAACAAAAATTTATTTTTTAAATTATTTTAATTAATTGAATTTTGGCTGACCATACAGCTGTTTCGAGTATTGCCAAATACCCTTCATCAGTGGTCTTGGAAATAATTCTTGTATTTAATTATTCGTAAATAATTATTTTTGAGACTGCTTTTTTAAAAAATATTTAAGGTAATAATTAATATTTAGTGGCCAAAATTTGTTATTTAATAACAGCTACTAATCGGTTTGGCGTTGAAGAAAACGATTTTTGTGTGGTTTTTGGCCTAATATTTTGCCACTTTTCGAGCAGTGCTACCTTCAGTTCTGCCTTTATTAATATAGCGTACTTCTTTAAGGGTCTATCCAATTATTCCAACAAATGTTCTATGGGGTTGAGATCTGGAGATTGGGCGGACGCGACAATGTGTGTTTTGCATGATACGCGAGTGAAATCATGAGCAGTAGTTTTGGATCATTCTCATGTTGAATGTGGCAAGATTTCGGTACTTTTGTTTGCATTATACCCCTATTCCTTCTCATAAGGTTACCTATATAATATTTTTTATTCATAATGTCGTCAATGATTCGCCGACACCTGCAGCAGACATGCACTCTAATACAAACACCACGTTTCACAGGCATAGCGGGATTTTTTTTTGTATTTCGGTGTTTAGTATTCTTCAAACTATTTGGTGGCCGTTGGATCGAAATATATTAAATTTTCTTTCATGCGAAAAGATTGCAATGTTCGAAAAGTCAATAAGCTTGCTGAATTACTCCTTTACATATACTGAATGTTTCTGGCTTAAGTTTCTTATTATTTTAGGCATTTTATGGTTTCAGGTAGGATCTAAACCACCACGTCACTTAGGTATAATGTAGAAATGATAGAAATTTTCTAGGAAAAAGTTATCAGATATATAAAATTATGTCAAAATTGTTCAGTAGAACCAAAGTGTGCCAATAATTTTGTTCAGCATAATTTAGAACTTTTTTGGTTTTTTAATTTTAAAAATCATATATAAAAGATAATATAATGAAATAAAATAAATTTAATTACAAATTAAGCATTTTATCTAAAAAATTTTATTGCTAATTAAAAATCGCATCATTAACGAAATAAAAAAAAAAAAATGCTGAAGTTCAATATGCTTGCCGTACCAAAAATTATGTTCGTCATTGTATGTAGACGTACCTTATATAGAGATGGTATTGTCGTGTTCCATTTAATATAGTAACTCGAGAGGAATTTTTTTTAATCCAAATCTGAAGAACTTCACTTATATTTTTTTAGTCATCTAAAAAAATAGAACTAAAAAAATAGCGTCCTATATATACTTCAGTTAAGACTATCTCAAAATATTGTTGGCAAAACTTGTTAATTTTATATTGTATAAAGAAAAAAATGTTATAAATAAATCCTATCAAACTGAAGCCATTTTGAATTGAAAAATTTCAAGTAATAAGTTAAACTATGGATGAAGTCATCAATGTGTAGGTGTATTGATAAAATATCAGTTAATAATTTTTTATTGTATTTCTAAACAATACTCAAAACAATTTTTTTGTTGACATGTCAACAAATTAATTTTATTCTTATAAGATATTCTGTATCGAACTCTGAATTGTATTCTCACAACAAATATACTTCCTATATCCGCATATAAAGAGATATTTATTTGTCAACATATTTGTCAGTCTGACAACAATAGTGAAAACTTAACAATTTTGCTCTTCAATAGGCAGGCACTCCAGCGTACGTTTGCAGTACTACAGATCATTATCATTATACACTACATTTGCATCTGATTAGCATAAATATTGCACGATCCTCACTCATTACAGTTTTTTTGAAATGTTTAACAAATAGACACGTTGTTACGAACAATAGCCCAAGTCAATGAAATCCATCCTCAGGCTGTTGAAAACATTCTTTGTACGACAAATAATTAATTGTTAATAAGTATTTTAAGGTTGTAAACAAAGTGTTGATGAGGTGAAGTTGTAGTGTGACATCAACTTAAATTTCGTGTATATTTTTTTTCGAATCTATTTAAATTGTATTTAAACTTTTATTACTGATAAAAGATTCAATATATTTTTCCACTACTATAAAAATTTAGTTGTCAAATTTTAGTAAAATGTCTATTTTAATAACACATATAAACCTCTTTGGTTTTGTTTAGATTTGCTGTCTTTTTGTTGATTGTTTGTATTTTGGATTAGTTTATCTGGGGATATACATTCTATATTTCTATAATAGTAATAATAAAAACAAATGCACAAATGGAAAAACAAATTGGATTTCTGGTCGAGAAGCTTAGGATGATAGTACCTCCATAATCTATTTTATGTTGAAAAATCTATTTATAATAGCCAACTTCATTCGGAACTCTGCAACACATTTCGGCACTGTTCTCATAATATCACCCAAGTTTTTGATCCATGCCAACCATGTTATGTTTACTTCTTAATTTATTTAATTTATTTATTAATTTTATATTGATACATAATAATTAAAGTATTAAACTGCAATATTATTAGTATTAATTTTTCATTAAGTGATATGGATTTTGACAGTATTATCTTAAATGTAGATAACTAATATATTATTACACATTCGGTATCTATATCAACAATCTAAATAAAAAACATAAAAAACTTTATTTATTAACCTTTGAATTAATCAAAATATACCTCCCAATTAACAAACCTGGTATTTCTGAATGAGGCTCCACATTAACTGGACTGTGCTATTTTCGAGTATCTATATGTCATTGCAGGTTAAGAATTTTAATAAACATTATCAATAAGTGATAGATAGGTATATTTATGTTTTACTTTTAATCAGACAAAAAAGTACTGTCATTTGTTTCTGTTAGTTCGAATGACTTACCTTTTCATTTTTATAGAATAATCTCATTAAAAAGTCTTGTTAAAGTATAGTTACTTCCTTTCTCTACAGACTCAGACTGGTAGTGTCATACTAACTCCTTGTTATACTATTATATAATTTTAAACAAAATCATAAAAAGATTTCCTTGCAGTTCTGTAGATATCACGCTAAGTTAATTATTTCCGAATTGAAAAGATAATTTTTCTCTATATTGACAATTACTTTTTCTATTTGTAACGTATTTTGATTTTTTTTAACTTCTAATAATTTGCAACAATCGTAGTTGTATTTTAAATAAATATTTTTCTTAAAACATACCTACTTACTGCTCTTACTTCTGCGGTTTATTAATTTTCCATAAAACTGCGAAACTATATTCTTATCATAAAAATATGCAATATTTTGCTAGTCTTTGAGCTCGGATTTATTTTGTCCTTAAGAAATAGACCTTACACAAAAATTTTTTTATTATGTTGGTACACCCTTTCTTGATATATGATACAAATTTGAGCGCCATCTGTCAATTAGTTTGTTTACAGCAGCTGTTAATGTGAGACTTCCTCAAGTGCATTTAGCAATTTTTATTATGGAAAATTCAGTTGAACAACGAATTTGTTTGAAATTTTGTGTTTTGAACGAAATTTCATGTGTTGAAGCATTGAAAATCGTGCAGAAAGCTTACGGGGACTCTTCTATGTCTCGAACACAGGCATACGAGTGGTATAAATCATTCAAAGAGGGTCGTGGAGTAATCGAAGATTTGCCATCAACATCAAATACTGAAGAAAACGTGCCAAAAATCAAGAAAATTGTGCTAGAAGATCGTCGTATGACTGAAAGGGAGATTGCTCGTGACTTAAATATCTCATATGGATCCGTTCATCACATTCTACGTAATATATTGGGGATGACACGCGTTGCAGCTCGACTTGTACCGAAACACCTTGATTTTTTGCAAAAAGAATATGATTTTTGAGCATGGAAACGACTCTACATTGATGAAACGCATCATAACAGGTGATGAGACATGGGTTTATGAGTATGACGTCGAAACCAGTCAACAATCAAAAATCTTTCATCTTGCTATTCGACATCATTACGTCCTCCCGCTTTATGCGATCACAAAGTTGGTTATAGTTATAACACAATAGCTTATCCGAGTATCAACAAATTCAGACTATTATAAATGTATGCAATATTGGTTATATTTTGGTTTATGAGATAAATGCATATTTTCAGCACAATAAAGTCTTGAACACTGACATGATCATAGGGAATTGTATTTAAAGTTCGGCTTTGATGTCCATAATAGATTTGAGAATTGCTTTTCATATTAATATTTTTTTATTTGTTTTTATGATATTGACCCTTCAACAGACGAAGTACAACATTGACGTAAGTCTAATAAATTTGCATTTTAATTTAAGATGCAAAAAATCGCAATAACTGGAAAGACAATGAAATTGTATCTCATTTCGTTGAAGTTGGATTTAAAAGAAAATTATTTCGTAATTTATGTTGTATTTTCAGTTAAAAGAAATCATGGAGGAAGTCAATTATTCCTTTTTGGAAATTTATTGCATTCGTGATTTATGCGAATTCAGTTAAATTAATTTTAAATAAATTCGTGCAAATTATATTTAGATATTTTAAGAGTGAATGTAGAAGGAAGTTTTCAATTAATCATCTAAATTCGAATATGGACAACACATTATTTTCAATATAAATGGTTTTTAAAATTATTTGTTGTTAATTGGCCAAAAACTTCTGGGCCTTAGCTAACACTTACATTTCAGTTTATTTAGCTATTGTAGTAAAATATTCAAAAGTATGACCTAATTTAATTTTATTAATACAAACTTTGTATATTATTATTCATTACAAATATATGTTAGTTATTATAATAGTTAGAACGATGAAAGCTAGGATTAAAATTAATATATAATATTATATATATTATATAATATATATATATAATATTAATATATATATATATTGATTGGCGATACGAACAGTTTCAGCACTTCTTTCATATTTTCATTTTAATATACTAACTAAAATTAGACTTTGTCAAATAAGAATATGATCTTTTTTTCAAATCATGTTCTCTTCTTTTCTTATTTTGGCGTATTTACAATTAAAATAAAACTATAAACATTCAAACCACTCAAACCAAGATTAAGCATCGGCATTCGTAATGTCATTTTCACACTACTCTACTCTATCCTACCAATATAGATTCTATTTTATGCCTTTTCTTCTGGATATTCTTCTCGATATCTTCATTACCAAAAATTTATAGTAACCATTGATTATATATGGATCTCAGTTCTTATTATCCCTAGTTTAACATGAAGCTTTCAGAGTCTTAATAAGATACTTTAAAACCGCTTATAAATTTGTCTCGATAACAAATTATCGAAAGCTTTTCGAAAGACATCAGAACTCATATGTAGTCGTAGAGTAAATTACGCAGATGAACTATAATGATAAAAACTATTCGTAATCTTCGAATAATACATTCTAAATTGACAATTAATGTCAATTTAAAAGTTTGAATTGTTAATTTTGGCTATCGACTGATGTTCGTTGTTTGACTTGTAATAAAATAATGAATAATTGACTCACTGAATGTACTTTGTAATTCACATTAACTAATGTAATAAAATTGTACTTTTCATTAAATGTTTGTTTAAAATACATTTTCTCAATCCTTGTTCATTCCTAAAAACTTTATTCTTCATTTGCTCTGATGGGCATTAATGTTGTTTTTATTATTCAAAAATAAATTGAACTTACTTATAAGTCTAGTGGTGTGTTAGAAAGTTATAAATAAGATTCTGTAATAGTATCAAAATTAGCACAAGAAACCGATATTTTATTTGGAAGCTATCCAAAATATAATAAATATTTCATGTAACTACTTACATCATTGAAATGCTTTAAATTAATATCTTGAATTAAAGTTGCTTAATACAACAAATAATCAAACTTAAATTTATTGATATTCATTTATATCACTCAAACAAGCCATAAATCCCTATCAGTAATATTTTAATTCATCTGAATAATATACAAATAATAAAGACTGCAAAAAGCTATAAGTTAATGAAATATTCCATTGAAGTGAGTTTCCTTAACAAGCTGCAACGTAAATATAAAGATTATGGGGCGCCAGCGTATAAAACGAACTTATCATTAACTTAATTTAGCTAAATTTCGAAGATTGTTCCCAAAACTGTGGCTTTTCTTTGTTTTCATCGAAGTCTATCTTGTGTGCCAATGAATTGAGATGCATAACGAATCGTTGTGCAGAGACTCGTGCAGTCAACTTGATAAATACTCGTTAAAATTTCAAACTACAACTAAGCAATGAAAGGCCCTTTTACTCAAAAATAAGACCAAAGAGAGGAAAATGCAGAAACGGAGTAAAGATGAAAAACGTAAGTACATGAAACTAATTTTATGCGCCACTGCAGTCGTTTTTCTGTTAAAGTTGTGACTGACTTTCGCAATTGGATGCGCAGTGCTGACTGAAAACTGAAGGCAGTGTTGATAGCAGCAGTTGTCTCGGATTTGGTGCAAGATGCTCTTTAATTGCAGCGAATCGTGCACTGATCTATTGTCAAAAATTTAAGAGGAATTGAACGCTGTAGGCAACGATAGATATACTGTAGTTCATTAAATTTGCTGCTAATACTGTAAGCACAAAGTGAAGAGTTAGTCACTTCTTGAAGGTGTTAGGCCTTTACAGCCAAAAAGTGTTGGAACTTAATAAACAAATTATAGAATCAGATATGAGTCTTTTTTTTCGTTATAGTATCGAAAGTGATGATAATTTTATATCCACTAGCAACATAAAAACCAAAGAATATACGACGTGTATATGTGCTAATATTCTCATGTATAATATTTACTATATATTGTATGAAAATCATTACCACGTTACAACTACATAATACCAATACATTATTTTGTATTATAGGTTTTGGTTATTTTTCTTTGGGTGTGAAATGAAATAAATTTTCATTGAAAATCAATATAACTCTTTACATGGCGATAGTAAACACTATCAATCGATTGAATTACAGTTTGACTGAAACTAGATATAATTATGATATTAAGAAATTATTTATGAATTTACAAGATATATAGCCTATATACTTACTTGTTGTTTTACATATTTTCGTGATTTATATAGAACTATAAAAAGTCACTTATATTTACCTTCAGATAAATGTCATTAAATTAAATAAGCCTATATACCTACTTGTTATTTTACATATTTTCGCGATTTATATAGAACTATAAAAAGTCACTTATATTTACCGTCAGATAAATGTCATTAAATTTAAGTTTCAAAAATCTATTGTGAGTTAGCGAGCACGATAGAGGCAATTCCTAATTTATAGTTCACATATTAAATTTAGTATTACGTGAACAGTAAGTGATTAATAATATATTGACATATAGTAAAAGTAGACAGCTTTATAGCACCATTTTACACTAAGGTAGTTTAAAACCAGACTTTAATGAACGTTTTTCATCTTCATTTTATCCTCTATAGATTGAGGATACACAAAATCTGCTCACCAATTTATAAGACATTAAATTTCCAAACATGCGACTCAAATTAAAATCCAAATATTGTGATCACGGTATTCTCACATACAATACAATTGATACTTTTTATTAAAACTTAAACTATTTAACATGATTTATTGTGTGATGAATATAAAACGATCAACCGTTTAAATCACAATTTGATAGAAACCAGATATAAATACTATTGATAAAAACATATGTAATGTAGCTACAAGATACTCTTGACGCCTAAATGCTTAACATTGTAATAATTATGTTTCTTTCAAAACTGAAATGTTTTCAATTCTGTGTGAATTAATATGTAGATTTAATTTCGTGGATTCATTCATTTAACACTCGCTTTGGAATATACTTCTTACCAGTATAGTCATATATCTGAAGGTGACACCGTTAGGTCTCCAAATACTTGTCGTTACGATCGTATAAGTACGTTATCTTAATAAAGAGTCCTACGCTTTCTATTTTGTACGGTATATGTATGTTATTAGAGCACCTAAACATGTACATATATATATTTTTTCCAGGCTTTATTTTTATAAACATTGAAATGCTATTGAAAATAAAAATCTAACCTATGTTTTACAATCGTCTGAGTTATTCCAGTAATCAGGGGAGAGAGATATGAGCTTAAGTCATATTTACTTAAGTCAGTAAATTAACAAATGGTTTTTCTTCACATATATAAAAATTAACGAAATCATAAGTTCAAAATTAAATAACATTATAATTGGACTAAAAAAAAAAAATGGAAAAAATGGCAATCGTTTTACAATCATCGAATTTATTAATTTGAGAATCAGTTAAAGGAAGCACCCAGGCATAGCACGCAAGCACCTGACAATTCTATGTTATAGATATAAGGCACATATATTACATTCAAAGTCTACAGCCCTGTTGACAAAATGCATATGTATATGAAGTAGAAGAAGAACCAAAACAAAAAGGATCACTGGTATGATTAAAACAAATCAAATCATATATTGGTACCCATAACAATAATAGATACCATGATTGCACGGACTTATCAGAAGAAAAACTTAGTATCACAACAGGAATCTTAACAGGACACTGTAAGCTGAAATACCACCTAACGAGATTGTGCATATATATGAATGCAAATGAAAAGTCAGCCACACATGTGCTGTTAGAATGCCTTGCGCTAAAGCACATACGGAAAAGACTCCTGGAAATGTATATCCTTACGGAAAAGGCAATTAAACTCTGTAAAGTAGGTTTTATACTACTTTTTATCAAAGTAACAGGCTTGGAGACATACTCCAAGCATAGAAGGGGACACAATATATTCCACGGTCGCAGTTATATATCTTATATCAATAATAAGTAAATATATATAGTGTATTGTTTTATTAG